GTTGATCACCCTCTTGTGGGGTGGTCGCAAACACTGGGTCCGTAAAGAAGCCTGTTACCAACATCCGTCTCATTGGGAGTGGGGGGGCTAGGACTGACACACCTGGCGAGTCATCGCCATGCCTCAAGGTTGGCTATCCTACGCTGCCTTTTGACGGAGGGCTCGATTTTGGCGCGGAGTGATAGGGGCGTCTTCCCTAGCCTTACCATCACTCAACCCATTTTGGGGGTAAACGCCGTCGCGATCGTGGAAGATTGTCGAGTTTCCTCAGAAAATGTCGGTTGGCCTTGAAGGTCATACCTCGGTCCAGTGACCTTTCACGGCCTCGGACACTTAGTGAATTAGTGGAGTTGGTCGCGAAGGATTCTCTGTGTGACCGGCTCAGCTTGTCGGCATCAGAGTTGCACTCTATTTGGTTCTGGGCGCCAGCGGCGGATTATCTCAGCAACCCTGAGTTTTCGCTTAGCTGGCGATTGACTCGGAACGTGCTACATTTCAATGACATACTCTTTAGATGGGGCGAGGCAAATTTGCCGGACTGTCATCGGTGTGTACTTGGCTTAGAGGAACCGGTTTCGCACGCCTTCTACCATTGTCCTCAGGTGCGCCCTTTCTGGGATTATGTCGGCGAGTTGGCGGCTCGTATCGCTCCCGATCGGCTCGTGCCCATTGATCTCGCGAACGCATGTGACAACGTGTTGCCCCGTTCTCTGGGGTAAAACGGATGCTGTTTTTGACGTTGCTAGCCGTGGCAAGAATGGTGGTGTGAACGAAGCGAAAGGAGGGAATCTTGCTGGATTAACGTTATTCGTATCAGGATCTGTTTTTTTTTGTTTTGTTTAAGCATCAGCTTAGGGTAAAAATTATTTTACCCTCCCCATTTCATTAGTGGGTGTAATGCTTGATTCTGTCTAGCATCAAAATACAGCGGCCTCTCATTATTTTGAGGGGTGGACGGGTCCTACTAACATTGTTTTTTGATTTTATTTTATTTTGGATTACAATTTTAAGGATGTTTCTGGGTTTCATCTACTCCCCATCATTTCATGAATCACAAAATTTTTATATATATTTTTATAATAAAAATAAACGGACAGATTTTTATCCCATGAGATTTTTGTACACCTGTGAATATGTGGTATTCTGGTGTCTGCAGGAGCGAGTGATGAAGAATAAATTCTTGTGGTAAATGCGTATTGTAATGAACGAATTGGTCGTGTGTGGATTTAACTAGGATTAACATATCTAATGAAGACCAGTCCCCCCTTCTTCTCCTCCTCCTCCTCGGCCGTGTGCCACAATTTTGTAATTTTTAAAAAATAAATATCCTTTTTCCTCCGTTTTTTTTTTTCAGAGCCACAACGCTGTAGCTCAGTGAAGAGCCCGCGTCTGTCCCTTATGGGAAGACGCTATGACACACGTACACACACACACGTATGTACGAACATTGCACATGTCTTAACTCATCTTATTCACTCCTTCAACTACAAGCAACAGAAACTTATCAACTTCTAACAGTGAGCTTTTCGACATCAAACAACTCGCCAAACAAATTCACGCCGTTCAAATCTTTGAAGTTTCTAAGTTAAATTTCCTAATCCCAAACTTCGAATTCACTCACCACTTACCAACGACTACACTTCAATTTTAACATCTACAATTTTTATCGAGACAACAACCACTTATTTTCTTCAAAAGATTTTACTCATTTGTTGGATCAACTTTATTCATGTAATATTTAAACTTCTATACCTGTTTTCTGTTTTTCATTAACAAAAAATATATATTCAGTATTCAATAGGTAAAGAGAGATAACTCTTACTTTAATCTCCAATATCAAAATATGATAAATTTTCTATGTAAAATATTATTTAATCTGAGCTGATTAGTATCTGTCTATATTTCTGAGATGAGGTATTATGTACACTATTTACATTATTCGGACTATTGTCCTCATCTTTGTTGCCACATTTATTACAAAATTTCAACCGTTGTACGCTCCGGCCTCAAGGACACATGGCACAGGGGAATTAACAGGAGATAACTGACAACTGACATCCATTAAACGTGGAACTAGAACAGTCTACCCCAGTGAGCGAAATAAAGGGTTCAGTTCGACATTCCAACCACCTGAAGAAGGCCGGAGCGTACAACGGTCGAAACATTGTAATAAATATGGCAACAAAAATGTGCTGGTAGGATGTGAGTGACCCTACAACATTAAGATTGTATACTGTTCTTTCTCCTGAGGGGAGAATATAAAAAACATATAAAAATGGAAATAAATAATTAATAAAAAAGTGTAGATAAAAAAATATTATAACAGCTTAGCTTGTTTATTATAATTGCTTTTAGTTTTAAGAGATGTGTTTTAGAAAAACATTTTTTTAAAAGCAGAGGGTTAATAAAAATTAACTAATCTGATGTGAAACAAGCTTTCTGAAAATAGGGTGACTTGAAAAAGAACCACCAAAAATAATTTGATCAAAGGCGGATAGTTTGTGACATAATTTTCAAATTTAAAAAGATATACACCTTTGGATTAGCTACTTCAATAATTAAATGTGTAGGATTTCTTACAGGAACATTTTATAGTACATGAAATATTGGTAGTGAAGATAGTACATACACAAAATAACTGAACAATGATTTGCAATGCAAGATAACATTTATTACACAAATTAACAAAAGCAAAGTTTAAGACGAGTTTCTTTTGTTAGATGTAAATTGTATACACAACAAAATGTTCATGGATATGTTTTAGTGCGAGTTACTTTGTTGGTGTGTTTTATGTTTGAAATGTTCACAGCCCTTTTAGTTTCAGGGTGGAAAGTTCATGATACCAGTTCGAAAGAGGAAAACCCGAGAGAGAGAAAGAGAGTTACTTTAGGGTTCACGTGTTTTTATACTAGAGAGCTGCTACTGATTTTATGTTTAAGAACAGCTACTATTACTATGTTTAAGGTCGCTACAGTACCCCCTTTCAAGCGATATAGTTGTACAACTATCTCAAAAAAAAAAGAATTTTTACTATGTTAGGTAAGAACATATTTTCTTAGGCCATCTAATATGACAGCCGCTCTTTGAAGTTCTACGTTGTGTAAGCTTGATGGTTTCTAATGAATCCTCACCAATATTTTCTACACGTGCTTGTTTTGGTCGGTTAATAGAAATGTTCTCTTGTCTATTATTAATCACGACTGTGAAATGTTTCTCTGTACGTTTTACTACCTTGTAAGGACCTCTGTAAGCTGGTTGTAAGGGATGTTTGGTTTACTAGCACAGAGTTGCAGTTTTTGAATGATTTCTCACAAATATATTATGTGTTGATTGTCTAGGAGATGGGGATATTACTTGAGATCTTTAATCTCAATAGATCTACAAATGAAGCAGGATCCAATAGAGGTTCATTTGGTTTGATTATTAACTCTCCTGGTGGACGTAAAGCTATTCTTAGCTATAAAAGTATTAATGGAATATTCTGAAGCCAAGAAGTATTATTCAGTGCTGTTTCTTTCAGAGAACAATGAAAACGTTATATCATAACGTTAGCTTAAGGATGTAAGCTGTGGTACGAATTCTAGTTGTACTTAGCAGGTTGGTTAAGAAAGCAAAAAGTGAAGATTCAAATTGTGTTCCTCTATTTGTGATGATGGTCGTTGGAACAACAAATCTGCTGACCCAGCCAATTATATAATCCTGTACAACTGATTTTGCACTGATAAGGGGAATTATTTCAGGCCAGCGGATGAATCGATCAGTGCAGGTGAGGAGATAATATTCCTGGGAGGGAGGGAATGGTTCAGTGATGTCGATATGGACATGGTCAAATCGAGTATCAGGAACAGGAAAAAATGTAGGAGCTGATTAATGTGTCTCACTATTTTGGTTTTTTCACACAGAACATAATGAACTGTTGATTCTGGGTCAGATATAATTTGTACTAATTTACCTGCAGGTAGCTTTTATACCTGGGTGTAATATTTCTATGGAGAGTTTTCAGAATAATAGGCCACAAATTTCACGTAGAAATGTCGTACCAACTGAAATGTTTCCCTTGTGGAATATTTATTTTCTTCATTTATAATAAAGACATTTTGTCCTCTAGAAGAGATTTTAGATCTTCATCATCTTTTTGGGAAGTTGCAATAGTTTCAAAAACGATACCTGGAGTTATATTAATTGTAGAAATATTCCTGTAGAATGTTTGCAGAGCCATTGATAAGTATAATATCTGTTGTGAATTGGCTGATGGAACCGAGGTGCCTAAGATGAGAATAGTTATCCAATTTCGTCTTGATTGCTCCGATTAAAGGTTTATAATTTGTGAGCACGTGAAAAGACTTATCTATTAAGAAATGTTGGAAATGTCGGATGGCACAGTAGACTGCCATTAACTCTCGTCTGAAACTGCTCAGAAGAAAGACACGGGTAACCATTTATCTGATTCCCGTTGTTGCAAGGCTGCTCCAATGGCAAAAGTTAAGACATCTACTGCCACAGATAACTTGGCTCCATCATTTGTAAAAGTGAGGTTAATAACATTGACTAACTTTTCTTTTGTCAAGTTAAAGGGTTACAACTCTTCTACAGAAAGATTTATATCATACTGGGATTAGCGATATTTCTGAGGATTATGTGGAAGAATCAAATTGAGTTTGAAATGTTGTGTCCAGCCGATGAAAATTGTTAGTTTGATAGTTTCTCTGACACTTGTAATTGCAAAGAACGAAGCATTATATACACCTATCACCGAATCATTTGTGGTAGATATCACTCTACCTTTTGACTTTCTCCTGTATTGTTGTTGTCTGTAATCTGCAATTCTTCTGTCTTTGCAATTGTTGAATGTTTTTAGTTAAAACCACAATTTGCCTTTTCAACAATTTATTTTCCTCCTTCATTTGTGTGATATCATTCGGACCCCATGTTCTCGTAACTAGATTGTGTTTGGTCATGACTTCTGCAAAAATCTATCAGCCGTATCGCAGAGCATATTCATGGGTTACTTGATTCCCATTGCCGTTAAGGATACCACCAACATTTGTGGCAGCTTTCTCCTCTCAGGTATTTTCCTCCTGTATTTGGGCGATGTTATCATTTGGATCCGTGTACTCAAAACAAGCTTGTTTTGGATTAAGACTTCCGCCAATTTATCAGCCGACTCGCACAGTTTATGGGTTACTTGTCTTCCATTGCCACTAAAGATGCCTGTAAAATTTGCGGTACCTTCCTCCTCAGATATTTTACACCTGGATTTGGGTGATGTCATAATTTGGATCCTGTGTACTAGTAACTAGGTTCTATTGAGGCATGACTTCCGGCAAAAATTATCAACCGTATCGCACAGAATATTATTGTTTCCCGTTGTCACTAAGTATACGTTCACCATTTGTTGCAGCTTCCTCCTCTCAGATATTTTCCTCTTTTATTTTGGAGATATCATCATTCGGATGCCGTGTGCTTGTAAGTACGTTGTTAAGGGTCATGACTTCTGCCAAAATTTATTACACGTATCGCACAGCTTATTCATGGGTTACTTGTCTTCCATTGCCGTTAAGGATACCTGCACCATTCGTGGCAGGTTCCTCCCCTCAGATGTTTTCGTCTTTTATTTGGGTGATGTCATCATTCAGATCCGTGTACGCGGAACTAGGTTGTTTTGCATCATGATTTGCCCCAACATTTATCAGCCGTATCGCACAGATTCTTCATGGGTTTCATGTCTCCCATTGCAGTTAAGGATACCTGCACCATTTGTGGCAGGTACCTCCTCTCAGATATTTTCGTCCTTTATTTTGGTGATGTCATCATTCAGATCCGTGTACGGGAAACTAGGTTGTTTTGCATCATGATTTGCCCAAAATTTATCAGCCGTATCACACAGATTCTTCATGGGTTCCATGTCTTTCTTTACAGTTAAGGATACCTGCACCATTTGTGGCAGGTACCTCCTCTCAGATATTTTCGTCCTTTATTTTGGTGATGTCATCATTCAGATGCGTGTACGGGAAACTCGGTTGTTTTGCATCATGATTTGTCCAAAATTTCATCAGCCGTATCACACAGATTCTTCATGGGTTCCATGTCTCCCATTGCAGTTAAGGATACCTGCACCATTTGTGGCAGGTACCTCCTCTCAGATATTTTCGTCCTTTATTTGGGTGGTGTCATTATTCAGATCCGTGTACGGGAAACTAGGTTGTTTTGCATCATGATTTGTCCAAAATTCATCAGCCGTATCAGATTCTTCATGGATTCCTTCCCATGGGTTCCATGTCAGATATTTTTCCTTTATTTGGGTGGTGTCATTATTAAGGAAATAGGTTGTTTTGCATCACCAAAATTTATCAGCCGGATTCTTCAGGTTCCATGTCTTTCTTTCTCAGATGCACCATTTTCGTCCTTTATTTTGTCCTTTATTTTGGTGATGTCATCATTCAGATGCGTGTACGGGAAACTCGGTTGTTTTGCATCATGATTTGCCCAAAATTTATCAGCCGTATCACACAGATTCTTCATGGGTTCCATGTCTCCCATTGCAGTTAAGGATACCTGCACCATTTGTGGCAGGTACCTCCTCTCAGATATTTTCGTCCTTTATTTGGGTGATGTCATCATTCAGATCCGTGTAATTTATAGGAGATGAAGTATTAATGATAAAGAGAGTACATGTACAAAATAACTGATTTTCAAAATAATATTTATTACACAAATTAACAAACGGAAAGTTTAAAACAGGACTTTCTTTTGTTAGATGTAAATTGTATGCATAATGAAATGTTCAGGAATATGTTTTAGTGGAAGTTACTTTGTCAGTGTGTTTTATGTCATGTGTTCACAGTCCTTTTAGCTTCAGCCTGGAAAGCTCATGACACCAAGGAAAAAAACCGATATCTTAATATACTACGAAAAATCACACTTCTGATATTATTTTCTTCAAAGAAAATTCTACTGCAAGGAACGTCCATTGCAGTCTGATAACATTTATTTCAAACATGCACATTTTCATAATCTTGTCATTTACTCACATCTCAATTACATGATTCAAGTATGTTTTGCCAATCACTACAATCTTAACTATTCAAGTCTAGAGCTAACCGTTATCTTCCCCTCCTGATCATATAACCTACACCTTAATGTAACCTTAAGTGACTCCTGATTCTCGTAAGGGTAAAACTTACTGCAAAAAAAAGTCTAGATTTTTAGCCTCCAAAAAATTGAATGAACGCAAACAATATAAGCATATTGGCAAAAATACATTTTCATAAACTTGTCATTTACTTACCACTCACTTACAAGATTCAAGTATGTTTTGCCAATCACTATAATCTTAACCTGTTCAAGTATAGAGTTAACCATTATCTTCCCCTCCTGATCATATAACCTACACCTGAATGTAACCTTAAGTGACCCCTGAGCCTTGTAAGGGGAAAACTTACTGCAAAAAAGCCTTGTTTTTTAGCCTCCAAAAGACTGAATGAACTCAAAAAATATAGGCATATTGGCAAAAACACATTTTCATAATCTTGTTGTTTACTCACCTCTCAATTACACAATTCAAGTGTGACACTATTTAGCTATGGTAATTGGCTAACTAATTAACCATATAAATTAAAACGGAAATAGGCATTCTTAAAGAAAAAAAAAGACCTATAACGAAAGATAGACTGATTGACGTTAAAAGAAAGATTTTATTTACAAAAATAGCCCACGGAAGAAGCCAGGTGTGAGTTCTTGTCCTGCCGAGTTATCGCCGAGGGAGATAGAAAGAAAGGCAAATATGGAATTATCGGCCTAAACACGTGTCGGTACAGGCAGTTATAATCAATGTTAATTATCTGTCCAAGATATCGTTTATCTTTTTTTTCTTTATTTTTTCATTGGATACAGGCGAAGAGAAGCAATGTGGCAATTATAAAATTTTGGCATTGTCTCGATGTAGGTGAGACGATTATCATTTACTTTGCCAACAGACGCTAAGACGTCGAATAGCAATATGGCAATTGTAAACTTTTGGCAATCTCTAGAAAATAGTGGAGAATTGAGATTTGACGAGATAAAAGAATTTAATTCCTTAACAAGTCAAGCATTCCATGATAAGGCTAACTTGGCGTAAAGAACCAGATGGCAAACTTTGACAGTGATTAATGAGACGGTAAGAGTGCTGGATAAGTGACTTTTGGGTGGCCCAGGAAAAAGAGAACAGGTGATAAAAATTTAATTGGCAAGGAGAATTTTGTAAACAAAAATTCTAGATTATAATTTTAAGGAGACCAGCTTAGCCACACCCACACTGCCGAGAGATCATTGGTCGTATGGTAGCTGTAGAAAAATCATGTGATAGAGATAAACACTCAGTTGTGGAGCAAGCTAAGTGAATAATAATCCAACCTTTAGAAAGAGAGCTATTTTTGTTGCCATGGAGCATCTCATTGTGCTAAAGTGGGATAGTCCATTGCTTAGGCTGTGATTGGCTGCTGGTACCTGAGTGGAGGTATTTCTATATAAATACCAGCTTGATTCATCAGTTAGTTTGCAGGGTTTGTATTAAGTTACAACCTGCTTTATTTTTGTCTGCCAGCTGGACGCTAGCTGGGACCTTTACGCCGGTAAGTGCTGTTTATTATTGTTATTCTACATCTCCTTCCACCCCATCGCGTGGCCTTTGAGGAGGGATGAGTTCCTTTAAACTTGGCTGGTTGTGCAGAAGTAGTCTGGACAATGCCCGAGGGGTTTTTGTCCGTGTTATTGTAGACGACTGAGCAGTGTTCGCTGTTATTCCAGCGTCGAATGTTTGGGGCACTGGTGTAGGGGTCTCAGGTAAGGCATTTTAGCCGGTGGGATCCAGTTTCTGAGATGCCATGCTGGTGGCTGCCACAACCTAAGCAAGCCTGGTGGTTTGGTTTAACCTTGCAGTTGCAATAGGTGCTGGTACGGATCCCCTCGTTGGCTTGTGGCGTACCCTTCTGTCTGCGGTATGTTGATAGCCGAGCAGCGGCTGTATCTGAAGCGCCAGCCATTGAGGTTTGGTCTCGCAATGCTGATTCAAATGCCTCAGCATGACGGATATTTTGCTCCAGGGATTTAAGTGCCCCAGCTTTGGCCAGTAGGTCAGCCTGGAGTGTGTCATTTGCTATTCCACGGATGATCTGGTCCTTGATGTATATGACAGGTCATGTTCACACGAGGGGCAGGTAAAGTTACAATCAACAGCTACGGCTCTGAGGCGGACAAGGTAACTTTGTATTGGCTCATCCGTATCCTGAGACATGGCGGAAAAAGCAAGGCGATGGACAATAGGACTTGACCTCTGGGTGACCAACGCTTCTACCATGTCAAGTAGCTTATCTGGATCAGTGGTAAAGAAGTTGGGGTGTGTGTTGATTATGGCGTTTTGCACAGTCTCATCAGCACAATTGTATAGGTGAATATTAGCTTGGGAGCTTGGCATATTTGTCATCTTGGTAAAGACATCCCAGTCTTGAGATGGGGAGGCTTGGCTGCTAGTGCCTGAATGTGGGTTGTCTGGGTGGTGGCTTCCTTAGCCTGCTTGATGATACACAGGGCTTCTCCCATTAATGCAACTCCGAGCTCCCTAAGCATGGATCGATCCAGCATTTGAAGGCTCTCGATTGTCAGTTTCTCGTCTGCAAACCTTGTTGCATGAGTTTTGGCTGAGTCAGTGGATAGGCCTGCTTCAATGAAGAAGAGTTCCCAATCTTCGGGTGTCATATATCCTGTTCGCAGCGCCATGTAGAAAAATCACGTGGTAGAGATAAACACTCAGTTGTGAAGCAAGCTAAGTGAATAATAATCCAACCTTTAGAAAGAGAGCTATTTTTGTTGCCATGGAGATTCTCATTGTGCTAAAGTGGGATAGTCCATTGCTTGGGCTGTGATTGGCTGCTGGTACCTGAGTGGAGGTATTTCTATATAAATACCAGCTTGATTCATCAGTTAGTTTGCAGGGTTTGTATTAAGTTACAACCTGCTTTATTTTTGTCTGCCAGCTGGACGCTAGCTGGGACCTTTACGCCGGTAAGTGCTGTTTATTATTGTTATTCTACAGTAGCATGGGTATAGGCGGAGGTGAATGGATGAGAAAGACAGAGAAGATGTTAACACCCACTGAAGGGATTGGTATGAGATATCAATGTGAGAGAGAAAGAGTCTAGGAGGATAGCTCTCCTCCGACCTTCCCTCACGAACGACGGAGACGCCCCCACCCCCCGCCGAAATGGGAAGTGGTTAATTTTCCAAAAATTGGAAATAATCAATGTTCCTGTCCTGAGAGATTTCTTGTTAGAAATAGAAATGTCGGGCCCACACACCGGGTTTTGGTCGGTACCCAGATAAGCTGACCGAGAGATTCCATGACCTCCGACTTCGCCGATGCTACCAATAGCAAGTTATACTGACAAACGAAGTTAAGCCAGCACTATTTTACTGTTTACTTAGAGGGCCAACTTGCTTGAAACATAGAAGTGTCACATTTCGTAGGAAACGGGCTGGGAGAAAAACACAATCTTGCATATAACAGAAGGATAAAGTCAAATTGTTATTTCTTAACATACTTGAACCTCTTGGGTTTTTCTTTCATTTATTTTTTTTCTTTGCGCTTGTGCAATGTCACCTTCAATTTGGACTCAGATGACACTACGACCTGACGCCTGATTGATCTCGTCTACCTAAGATCAAAGTCACAATGTGGGTAGGTTAGACTTTAGATCAAGGCAGTTAGCCCAGTGACCAGATGTTGCAAGTGAACTGTGAACAATAGAGTTGGCATTGAACCGGTACAACTGGTGAAGCTGTAAACATTGACGACCAGAACTTGACCCTAGTGCCACATATTGGTACCGTAACCACCGGATTCGACCCTGGACGGCTGAGTGTCACATATTGGTATACTGACCAGGGGATTTCGCCGAGTAGCGACGACCACCGAACGACCGGGACACAGACTGGTGGCAGCGACAAAGAGTCAACCCTAAAACGCCGG